AAATCGATTGTGATCGAGTCTGCAATGCGAGACATATTATATTTTTATTTCCGTTTGTTCACTATGGCGAGAATTGGAAACGTGAAATAAGAATTTGTTGTATAGTCGAAGCATTAGAAATGCATAGAACATAGCGGACTACGTGAGGAATTGTTCTGAATAAAAAACGAAAGTCTCTCAACAATTTTTACTTCGGCCATTTCGATGTTCCGGACATATACAATTCATGTGAGCTTAAAAGGCACAACGAATTTATATGTATGTGACATATTGAACATTTTTGCTAAAAACCACCGCAAAGCGCAAACACAATTCGATCGTTCGAATTGTATCAACAAAAACATATATAAGCGAAATAAGACTGAGACTCGTTACGATGTACGAATGGCAAAAAAAATTGAAACCTTAAAATTTTGAAAACATTTTACAGTCAAATTTTCAGTTATGTACATCAGAAGACAAAAAAACTAAAGCGAATTGGAAAATATTAAAATACAAAAACTATTATAATTTATTATAGTTAAAATTTACGTTAAATGAATTGTTCGGAAATTGTACGAGAGAAAAAAATCGTATATAACAAAATAAAAATTGCCTCACTTTGATTCTACTTGTAAATGTTTGTGCTGCTGCTGCTGTGTATATGTGTAAATATTTTAATATGGACGGTGTTCGTATGTATAAACGAGTTTATAGCATGTCAAAATAATATTTAAAAAAGAGTGAAACGAAAACGAAAACGAACGAAAAATAGTAATAATAATAATAATAATAATAATGAGCAACAGCCGCAACGACGAGAGAGACATTAAGTAGGTCAAATGTGAGCGAGACAGCAGCCAACCTATGTATACGCGTCATTCGAATCGAATATGCCGTCACATCGCAAACGACCGAAATATACTATGTGCATATAGTATACATATACGTATTATGTATGTATGACTATCAAAGCCACAACATGATTGTGTGTCTTTATGTACTCTACTAAGATTTTCACACCTTTGGCATGTTCACCGAATGCTTGTACATACATGCAAATACAAGCGAGATGTGCAAGTATTATTATTTTTAATGCGGAATATTTACAAATTGTGGAAGTGTGTCTATTTTTATCAGAGATTCGGAAGCGTATCGAATATTTTCTAGTGTATGAACAATGCACGTCGAATGAGCGAAAAAAAAATTGTGGTTTCCAAATTATGGTGCGCATAATAAAGTTTAAAACAAACAAAACAGATTAAAAATGAGTAAAGTATTTGCCCTAGTCTCCAAAATATGACGAATGATTTTATAATTCCAATTTTGTATTTGTGAATGTACACATACACTTTTGTTGATTTAACAATGAAATTGTTTATATCGCGAAAAATCTAAATGCAAATTGACGTTGCAATTGATTTAGTCCAGTATTAGCCATATGTGAATTCTGGTTATTAAAATTTTGTGAATTCATATTGACGGTGAGTATTTGAATGCTTTTCTATGCGTGAATTTTGATGCTCCAGTACCAAATAAAGATTCTACAAGAAGGCAGTACTGATAATAAATTATTGGCAATCGTTTGATTTGATTTTTACAAATGCTTGATATAATGCACATTTTCCAAATATTTACGCTTTTGCAATGACACAACCCCTGCAAATATTAATCTGTCCCATTTTGAACAATGTGTATTTTTTGACGTAACCATATGCTCAATGTGTGACAATTGTAGAGGATTTTTTTTACCTGACTCAGTGAACGTATTATGGAAGGTATTGAAATAGAAATCGAAACTGGTGTTTTGCATGAATACTATGAGTGCATGCGCTTACGGCGATCTTTTTTCATCACAACCGACTATTGTAAATGACTGTTTGTGACGAAATCCCAAAATTATCTCTGTCTGTGGGATTGAGAAATGGACAAAATGAAAGAAAGAGCAGAAAGTATTATGTCACGGTGCGTTTTATATTCGAATTGGAGAGCCAATACGAGAAATCGTAATGGGAACGCATTTCAAATGACATACATGTTTTGAGACCGCGAAAATGGTCATCATGAAAATTTGCATTTGCACATGTAAATGTTAAGGGCGTTCATGTTATAAACATTTGATGTAAGTAAATATATTGAAATTGAAATTCACGTTGATTGGAGCATAATTTTGACTAAGGTATATAAATGTCAATTGGTAGTGATCAGTAGTGATCGAATTCGTACTAAAAATTATATAAAATGAGCAAAAGTAGAATTTGGAAAAATTTCTCAAAAAAAAAAAAAAAAATATTGAAAAGATTGAAATGAAATGATTTTCAACTTCGTAAACTCGCGCGGAAATAAGTGAATTTTGTTAACATCATTTGTTTGTGAATTCAAAATGTCGAATGTTTTGACGCAGACACATTCGAAATCTTGTGTATATATTCGATTACTTAATTTATTGACTTAACATTTGTTACTGGTTTCTTTTGCCGTTTTGGTGCCATTGTTGCTCATATTTGTGTGTCACAATTTCGACAGTCAGCGATTGTGCAATAAAAGATGTATTATTATAAAATGTGATAGCCGACTCTGTTGTGTGTATTTGTGTGAGAAGGAGAGAAAGAAGGAGAGAGAAAGAGTGTGAATGTGTGAAAGAATGGCAATATTTTTGGCTGTGCGTTCCGTCATACGCTAAATGTTCAAAGTGATCTCGATTGAACGTAGTCTTGATTTCGTATGCAAATACGTGCTCATTTTTTATCATCATATTAATGAATTTGATTATTTTTTTCCCTTTCATGAGGTTTCAGAATGTTTACCATATGATATGCCCTGTGCATATGTCAAAGAAACAGAATTTGATTATAAATACCGGCAATATTACTGATTTCGGGAAAATAAGTGTCAGATGTTTGCAGGGATTACAATGTTTAATTGCGGATCAACATAAAATAAAATTAAAATAATTGAAATGAATAGCCGAATACGTAAACAAAATCCAATGAACAGATTATGTTTTGGAATGTAGATATTTTTCATCATCGTGAATATGGAGTACATTTATAGACTACAAAAGAATTTTCGTATTGAATGCAACAACAATTATTTCTTCAGACATTAAATATACTTTTTTTACCAGTATTTTTTTTTAATTCTTATGTGAACATAGATGATGATGCATTTCTTTAAATGGTACACGTGCCAAGTTTTACGTATCTTCGTTAATGTTTTTTTTTCTTTAAATCTCTGACCGGCATTCGAGTATATGAAGAAGTCTTATTTCGCTTCTCGTGTTTGACTCTTTCTCAAAGCTATTGTGTGAATTTGTCTCTTTTATTTGAAAGATTTGTTAGTGCACGCGTATTTCGATAATTGAGCGTTTTAAAATATTCCGCTGTGAGCTCCAAATACGCGGCTCGATGCGTAAATGTATATGTCTTTGAAAATAGAAAGTGTAATGTGGGAAATAAACGTGAATGTAAAAAAAATAAACGAACACATAATAAACGTGAATGTCGAGAGAAAAAAAAAACAAAGTGTAATCATTGTGTGATGATTTGAGAATATGCATGGATACAGTGTCATAATTTTCTTAGTATTTTCTATTCGTTCATTATTTGAACGACGAAAGTTTATTACAATGCAATCGAGCCGCATCTATCGATGCTTGTCGATTAGTCAAGGTCTCATGACCATTCTTTTCTGTGCATTGTTTACTATTAAATTGATCTACAGAACTTTAACTGGGTCCCATCATTTGCCATTATGTATATAATGGTAAAATTACTCCATCGAGGAAAGTTCTGTAGATGTATATGATGACACACAATGTATAAGCGCAGTGATTTAGTTTGAACATTGGAATCGACTGTTTTTGGTGAAAGTGAAAGAATAGTAACAGCTACTCATGACTTCTTTCATGTGAATTGGCTTGGATTGATGTTTTTAGATTAATACATAGAATGCATTCACTACAACCGAGGATTTTGGCTACATTTCTGATTGGGTTTATTGAGCTTGAATATTTCATTGACCTACTTCCAATTTCACTTAAACGATTTTATAATAAACCTGATACCGGCATCGTATTAAGAATTTTATGGGCGCTATTGCGAAATATTTTTAGGGCCCTTTTCCAATTCACAATTTTTCCTATTTTTGAAGACAAATTTAATTGAGTATAGAAAGTTTTTGAAATTTAGCGAGTGAAGTGAGCTCACATTTTTGTTTTATTTTGTGAATAAAACGTAGAAATTATCTAATTGAATTGATTGAAAATATACCTAATATCATAATAGATAAACTCTATACTATGCTGTGCTCTTTAACTTACAGTTTTTGAGCATGTGTGCGATTTGACTAAATCATTAAATATTTATTATCAAAATGTGTTGCTTCACGTGAATATTCGGAAATATTCAGCTGTGTTAGTAAGGAGCGCAATCAATCAAATCATGGAAATGTTGTTTTTCGCTGATTTTCTTAGTTTCAATTTGCAATAAACCCCATCTTAATTGTTATTGCCTATGTATTTTATATGATATAGAGCATGTGATCTCTCTTACTTCGAACTTTTCATTTCGATTCAATCAATTCATATTGAATGGGCGGTCATTGTTTTGTTATGTGTTTCACAAATTATTCTTTGAAATTATTTACTTTGCGTGCTATAACAATGTCCCTGGTATCTTTACATACCTACTGCGGACTTTCTGTTTGAATACATTGATTGTCGCGTAAATTGGAATTAACTTTTTACTCACGGATTATTATTTTCACATTAACTCTATTGCTTTGTAAAGAAAGGAAACGAAGAATATCAGAAGTTTCGAATATTATTAGTAATATGCAAAATGCAATGCTATTATTTTAGAACTTATTACGTGGAGCATATTGGTCTCATTCAAATAATCATTTATTTATTATGATATCACGAGATCTCGTGCTTGCTTGAAAGGATTTGTAATATTTTGCTCATGGTAAAATGTAAACCAACTTAGAAATAAATTTTAAAAAAATATATGAGTACTCACCTTCAAGTTTCATGCCAACTTCCAGACATTTTTGGAATCGACAATAAGGACATCGTTTTCGTTGCGTTTTATCAATATGACATTGTCGTTCGGCCACGCATGTATATACCTTTTTGTTTTGTACAGTACGTTTGAAGAATCCTTTGCACGATTCACAGGTGAGCAATCCATAATGGTAACCAGACACTTTGTCACCACAAACTGGGCACAATTCCTCAAAGTAATATTTCATGTCCGTCTGATCACATGTGTTGATCGCATTACCAACTGGTGGTAATAGCGATGGTACGTATGTGTCTTGGTTAGTATGTTGTGAGGCGGTATCTGTATAAGCTGATGATTGAAATACATATTGAGAGTTGAAATTATAAATGGAATAGTCATTGTAGGGCTGTTGCTGCTGTTGATGTTGAGAATTTACAACTACATTCCCATTGGGGGACACTGATTCTGACGTATTATTATTGTTATTATTTGTATTATTATTGTTATTATTATTATTGTTGTTGTTGTTGTTGTTGTTGTTGTTGTTTGTATTCGAATTGTTGTTATTATGCAAGTGCACTAGATTTGTGTGCGTCGCCGCGGAAGGATAATTAGGCTGCGTATATTGAGATGTTTGTATATTTGCGGCTGAATTGTTACTATTCCCATTACCCGTTCCAGCGCCCGAGTGTGGGCTACTGGTGAATGATGACAAATTGAATGACATTAGGGTTGCAGGTTGCTCCATGTCTAATAACATGTTTATATGCCAAATGTCCAATCACAAAATAACAGGTTGTTAACGAATCAATTTTTTTTTGTTTCAGTTTCACTTTTTGTCGATATCAATATTGAATTTGATACAACCACCTCAAATAATATCTGCCTACAAATGTATTTTCACGGACGGAATGTTTCTACGAAAATTCTTTGCTCTTCATGGATTACTAATTTGCTTGTTTTTTTAATGTTTTTTCTCTTTACATTTTAATAAATAGTTCGTAATAATTGTTTCTGACTTTTTTGTGCAACGGTTTCGATTTTTTTTGCCACTGTATTCTCACATCAATTGTATTTTATTATTATTGGTATGAATTATTTGGAGTTCTTGTTCTTGTTTGTTTCTTGATCGCGTTGTGTTTAGCTCTCTTAGTGCAATTTTATGCTGGTACACAACGTAGAAATAATTTTTAAATGGTCGTTGAGAATAGTTGTAGCATTTACTACATCAGCACACCACTGATCGAAAAGCGAATAGTTTCATAAAAATTGACGCTTCTTATTTGGCCGTGTGTATATTAAAACAGTCGCTCTCACTCTCGCTCTCGTTTCTTATTTCTGTGTCCAATGAATTACAACTCATTCGTGTAATAATAACACATTGTCAAACGAAAAAAAAAATCTATGAGGTTGTAACATTCACTATTTCACAACCTGGTAATATTCGAAGATTAACTCGTCTTTTTGCGTATGTCTTTGCCTCTGTTGTCTAAGTTTCTAAGCTATTTGTGAGTGTTTCTTTGTATTTATTTCGATTTTTCTCGAGTTCAGATTGAATCTTGATTTTCACATAGGATATTAGATCGTCGTTGGGTCGAATATATTCATGATGTTTTTATCATAATGTTCGAAATTGAAAAAAAAATGAAAGCAAATTCTCAATTTCATCAATGCAGTATTTTACCGAAATTTTGATATAAATCACGCGATTTGTATGTATGTGTTTAAATATATCATATGAGGTATTCACAAACACATCAAAAACCGAACTGAATGGATATTTCTCAAAAACAAATAACACCAACCACACTTTTTGAAATTAATATGTCATTGTTGTTGCTACTCATAATCGAAACCAGGTTGTGTCAATCGATATTTGTATATAAATGAGTTATATCATATGCCAATATTCGATACAAAAGTATTTGTACTAGGTCTATTTTCGCTTGAATTTTGTCTCTGTCTCTTTTTTTTTTAACTCAACAAATCTAGCTATTTTGGTCTCTTTTCAGCTATTTTTCAGTTGTAAGAATGTATTCTTTATCTTCTGTCCTTGTTTTTAGCGTTTTTCTTTTTCGAACACAAAATATTTGGTTACAGTTTCAATTAAAACGAGAACAACCGAAGTAATTAATTAACATTTGTCGTGTAAAACACTTAGGCGGCAATAAATATTCGAACACGCACCAACGCGAACATTTCCGATGTTTATGAGCTTGAATTGCATATGCATCAACAATATATTGCAAGATTCATAGACTCGTAGGGACTGTATGTATTTTGTTCAACTCCCTTGAACGCCTTTCTTCGTGCAGTTTAATTTCCAAATTGTTTGTCTATAAAATGTTCTGTATAAAACGAAGATCATATCAACCGTTATTCCGAAAGGAAGACACTTTCTTCGCTGTATCTAGAAGAGCCAACAAAACTTCGGTCACTTCCACGCATAAACACTAACACACACTAAATGAAGACCGTTTTTTCTGATTTTATATAGTTTTTTTGTTTGTTTTTCAGTTTGAAGATCGATAGGATGCTATTCGACTATGGCTGGTGTTTTGAATGTCCGGTAAATAATGTACAATTTGGGTAACATTTTGATCACACGCACAATTGATCGGTTGAATTGATTGCGTAAAAATTCATATCAAAAATATGGTAATGGTTTTAATGGTAACAGCTTTAAATATGGTCTGGTTTAAGTGTCTCTATATATAATGTCTATAAATGATTGTATAAAATATGGTAGTATCCAATATTGACGAATTCAATATGAAACCAACTACATAAAGCAAATGATCACTGCTTTTGTTTGCCAAATTTGAAATATAGTTTCTAGCTATAAGGATATGATCCCCAGATGTAAGGCAAAAAATGTGTTTGTGTTTTTTTTAATTGCGTATTTATGAAATATTGATGTGAATTTTTTTTCTTCTTTGCTAAAGAGCAGTTTGATCACGTTGCGATCGTTTGTTTTTGTATGAATTTATCTCTTTTCTTTCCTTTCCTTTTCTTTTCTTTTGTTTTTATTAACCACTTATGAGGTTCACTAGCAGTATTTTTGCACTTAAAGAACTTAAACTTCCTGTTTGTTGCACAGTTCAACTTTTAATTTGTACAAAGTTTTTGGGAGTAAGACAAGACGGTAATCCAATGTGATGCAAAATTGTGAAGTTTCGTCGAATTTAAATTTCGACTATTTGAATCCCGTGATTATAGTCCATGCAGATATTTATTACATTTTCAATTTAATCATATAATAGCCACTGCGTGCACTATGTAGAATCGTTATTTTTCAAACAGATAGTACTTTTCAAAAGTATGTGATAGTCTTCTCTTTTTTTTTATTTGTTGATAATTTCGGAAATTCGTTGAGATTTAGATAATTAAACTGTGTATAAACAATTGGTTTGGTACTGGTAACAAGTCCTTTTATATTTTACTTGAAAATAAAAACAAAACAAAAATGTATGTCAGAAGAGTGTAAAAAGCACTCCCTACGGCAAACACGGACAACAATTGACTAAACTTTATTTTACAAAAATAAAATATTGTATATTGGAGTTTTCCCTAGCACCGAAACCGTCACTTTGCACATACCAAATAGCTCGTGTGTCATGCATGTGGAAAGAGAATCGGAAAGAGCGTAAGCGGCGAAGAGCTCTGACTGTGTGTTGTGTTGTATTGTACTATTTTAGTGTTGTACAATGCTGCCGTATAAGCAAGCGAAAGCGAATCGCCGCATTCCGATGCGGTTCGTACCAAGTGTGAACGAGTATGGTTAGTGAGAAAATTGAGATAACGCAAATAAAATTCAAAAAGGAAGCAACAAACATTCTTGCTGACGATATGCAAATTATCCTTTCAAAGTCACTCCATAAGTGAACCTCTCATCCATTTTCATTTTGAATTTGTGAAAACTAAGTTTCATTATTGTTAAATTGTCATTAAAATTGGTGGCATATATTAGTTTATACTGAAAATTGGAAAACTCAGGATACATAACCGAGAATAAACGAAAGAAGGCAATTTTTTTAAATGATTTTCATCGCATGTATGTAAATGATTTCAAATGCATTACATCACATGATTAAATTCTACAAATGTCCAAAAAAAATCTATTTTCATTTTTATTTTTTATATCCACATTTCTCTCATATTCTTAGCTTTTTACTCATTTTAAAATCGATTTAGATATAACCGGATTTGTTGAGAACGCTAGCTTAATCGATGTATTCTCAATCAATACTGCGCTATGCGAATCGATACCGCTGGAAATGTATTTATCATCAAACACTAGCATTCGAACCAAGTACCATGGCTTTCAATGCGTGCATATGTATTCGTTTGGAAACAGATAACACTATGCGCATATATAACAAGTGAATAAATGTCATGAAGGGCAAACAACATTTTATGTTGAAAAAGAAGTTTTTCTGCCCACTTCGAATTCATCTTTGAAAGATCCATTTGGAGAAAATTATATGCTGAACTCACCTATAGTACAATGTAGAGCTCTTTGCACTGTACCAGCACAGGCCGTTCATAACAATAACGGAAATATATAGTTTCGAATTATATTCGTAAAAACTCTTGACCAAAATGATTTTAGCGAAATTAATCCGCTTTGTTTTCTTATCGTTCACAACATAAGGAACATTCGTATTTGATCATAAGGATTAAGGAAAGTGGCCAACCTTTTTTTCCTTTTTATTTTTGTCAAAGCTTAAAAAAGCGGTCATGACCATTTTGTTTTTATTTTAAACACATTGTCTAGTTTCTATCGATTAGCGAAACATTGATTTATTTGGATAATGAATTATCGGCAGATATTTATTTGATAGTCGTTTAAATATCTTTCAATTTGACAATGGAGGCAAGAGAAGATTAAGTGAAACCATGATACTAATTCGACTCTAGCTACACAATTCACAAAAAATTGAACTACTACAAAATGGTCAAGAATTTAAAGACAAAACCGGGAAGGAACCACATAATTAAATCATCGCCGTTTACAACTATGATAAACGAAAAAAATAAAGAATGGGGATAAGCATTGCATATGCGTAAAATATGAACAAATTATGTATATGCGTGCAATACCACGGCAATGCTGAGAAGACTTGCAGTCGCTTTTTCATGCGGAGATATGGACTGAGAGATCGATTGATCTGCACAGTATTTGCTTTTTTTTTTCAAAACCGCAGAATATTTTTCAATAAACTTTTTTTGGCGATTCGTTTCAAAGTAAACAAAAAAACATTTCAATTGCATAGAAATAACGAAAAACCATTTTCTGTAAAACCATTTTTTTAATGTGATAAACATGCCAAAATAATACATAATTT